GTATTTATTAAATCAATTGATAAATACATGAAGTAGAAACTGGTGATTAAAGCTTATGAGTCTTTCACCTCATACATTAGATATCAATATTTTATGTTCTATTTTTAATGTGAAAAAACCCTCTAACTTTGAACTATATCATTGGTGCTAATTTTAGGTGAAATTGTAATATGATATATACAACTTGCTAACTGCAATGTCTGTATAGACAAAATATGGTGTGAAGAAAGGACCGACCAAGTGAAGGATTCTAGTAAATGATATTGTCTACTATTTTAAGTTAGCAATAAACTTATAGTTTACATAATTATAATGCTGGTGTTTTGTGATGATTATTTGAATTATGATGATTGGTACATGTACTTTTTTTAGAAAAATGATGGTTTAAATATATTGTCCATTTTAAAATCTTCTTAGTGATATTACTAAATTATAAGAATTTTTTCCAGCTATATAGGCATTTTAAATTCCTTAAATATAAATATAATATGTAGTTTATATATTTATACATATATCCTTATATGTATATATATATACACTTATATATACATATATATAATATGTAATTTCAGTATAGAAATTTTGCATATATTTTTAGTTAGAATTAATCATGAGGATATGTTTTTGATACTATAGGATAAGCTTTATACTATACCTTACACCAATATATTATACTAATAGTGATAATATATAGTATATCTTATAATACATTATACTAATTATTATACATATTACAAATATCTTAAGCTAGAAGGCATTAGTTTTTATATTATTTTTCTAGTTGTGCATTAATAGTGTGTGTATATATATTTTTTATTTTTATATATTGAAAATATGTCCTTTTGATCTTACCAAATCCTCTCATTAGTTCCAGTAACTTACTTGCAGATTATTTTATTTTATTTTATTTTTTTTAATTTTTTTTTTCTCAACGTTTATTTATTTTTGGGACAGAGAGAGAGACAGAGCATGAACGGGGGAGGGGCAGAGAGAGAGGGAGACACAGAATCAAACAGGCTCCAGGCTCTGAGTCATCAGCCCAGAGCCTGACGCGGGGCTCGAACTCACGGACCGCAAGATCGTGACCTGGCTGAAGTCGGACGCTTAACCGACTGCGCCACCCAGGCGCCCCGAGATTATTTTAAACTCAATAGGAAAAAAAAAAGCAAAACAGAAAGAAATAAGAAAAACAAATAGAACAAAAAGAAAACCAACAAGATAGTAGATATATACCAAGCCATATCAATAGTCACATTAGATGTAAATAGCAAACAACCCAATAAAATGGGAGATGTTTTTCAAATTGGATACAAAAGCTGCATCCAGATATATTCCGCTTACTAAAACTTAAATATAAATTGATTAAAATTGATTAAAAAGATGGGAAAATATAACCTGCTAACATTATTGAAACAAGGACACTGAAGTGGCTGTATTAACATCAGAATAACTCATTTCAAAACAAAGAATGTCATAAGGAATGATGATGGTCATATCCCAATGATAAGGTGGTCAAGTAAGAAGACGTAAATATCCTAAATATTTATGTACTGAATAACAGAGTATCAATATATATGTAGCAAATCTTATAGCCTATGAAATAATCAGAGTAAACACCACCATTCTATCAATAACAATTAAAACAAAGAGACAGTAAGTCCAGTAAGAATACTGGAGCAGTGTGTGTCATTTTTGTATCATCCATTTTATTCTCTTCATTGTAGTCCTAGTTCCCTCTACTTTCTTGAACATTTGTAGACTATTCATAATTACTGTTTTGATTTCCTTTTCCAGATTGTACCGTCAATTAAATATATGTTCATGCTTACTGACTTATTCCTCTCTAGGTCACAAGCCATATTTCACACCTTATTTTTGTGACTTGTAAGTTTTGATAAGATGGTAGACTATGAATTTTACATTGTTGATCCTGAATTTTGTTGTAACTCCTATAAGTTGTACTGAATTTTGTTTGGAAATAAATCTATAAGATACTTTCCAAACTTGTTTATAAATTTTCTTTAGTGTAGATCAAGAAAGGCTTATAATTTAAGGACAATTTAGCTATCTTACTAAAGACATACCTCTCTTAATGGTTTACCTCATGGCCTGTGCATTTCAATGTCTTTCTCATCTTCCTTATGACAGCATGAACCACTCCCAACTCTCTGAGCTCTGTACTATTCCTTTCTGATGGTCTCTTCCTGGATGTTAGGCACTTTACCCTCATGCACAGATCAATATTTAGGTCAAGACTCTAGGGGATCTCTCTTGAGATTTCTGGAGAATTCCAACTTTGAATCCCTTTCCTCTCCAACACTCTTTCAGCTGAATTTCCAGCTCTTTCTTTTGAAAACTACATCTAAGCAGTAAATAGTTATAATCCTAGAGTCTATCATGTTTTCTTCCTTCCTCTGGGAATTTATGGACATTTAATGCCTATTTTCTAATAGATGGCATACATGGTTGACTATATTTTTTCTTGTTCTTCTATTTTTTTTTTAAAGCAGAAGGATAAGTCTGTTACTTTGTTCACCATCTTGATCTGAAGTATAAGACCCTACCTGATGCTACAACAAAAAAAATTTCCATTGTGAAACTCTATGAATCTTTATCATCTCAAACTGCTATTTGAAGCGTGATCTGACTTTCAAAAGTATAGTAAAATAGCATCTTATATTTTGAATAATCTTTGATATCAAGATATTATTATGGATCTTAATGGGAAATATAATATGTATCTTGAAAATGCAATAGGAGTTTTGTCATCCACTTAACCACTAACTGCAATAAACTAAAAGTTCAATTTTCTTTTGTTGTACAAGTGTTATTTAAAAGCATCGCTTTCATTAAAAGTTATAATTTATACCTATTTTTTTAGCTTAGCAAAGACTTTAAAATAATTTTAAGACTTTTTTTAAGAATATTATGAAAAGAAAATTGTCCCTATTTTTTCTGTATGTTAAACAACTGTAATTTATTATTTTTAATTTTTTTAAATTTATTTTTGAGAGAGAGACAGAGTATGGGGGGGGGGGAGGGGAGAGAGACAGAGAGACACAGAATCTGAAGCAGGCTTCAGGCTCTGAGCTGTCAGCACAGAGCCCAACATGGGGCTTGAACTCATGAGCCATGAGATCGTGACCTGAGCTGAAGCTGGAAGCTTAACCAACTGAGCCACCCAGGCGTCCTGAACCAACTGGAATTTACATGAAAATTGTCTTTAATTTTTTGTATCTAGTAAGTCACTTTAGAAGGTATTTAAATTATAATATAAAAACTCTGAACCCACAAATTTGACAGCATTAGATAAAATGGACCAATTCCTTGAAAGACACAATCTGCCCAAACTCACACAAGGAGACAAAGAACATATGAATAGGTTCCTTTATTTATTTTTTTTAAGTAATCTCTATGCCCCACTTGGGGCTCCAACTCATGACCCTGAGATCAAGGGTCTCATGGTCTACCGACTGAATAGGAACATATCTACTAAATAAGTAAAATTAATAATATTCCCAAACAGAAAGTACCAGAAAGGCCCATATATGTTAACTGGTGAATTCTACCACACGTTAAAGGAAAAAATTATACCAATGCTCTACAAATTTTTCCATTAAATAGAAGCAAAGTGAATACTCTAACTAATCCTATAAAGCCAACATTACCTTAACACCAAAACCAGAAAGAAACAACGCTACAAAGAAAAACTACAGACCATACCTCATGAGTATACATGCAAAAACTCTAAAACATTAAGAAATGGAATCTTGAAATGTATAAAGATAATTATGCAACATGATCAAGTAGGTGTTATTCCATGTATACAAGGCTAGTTTAAATATTCAAAAATAATGTAAAAAATAACATCAAGAAGCTAAAGAAGAAAAAACACTTGGTTATATTATCAGATTCAGAAAAACTTTTGACAAAATTCAACACTCATTCATGATTAAAACAAAAAGAAACCAACAAAAAAATCTTAGCAATCCAGGAATAGAAGCTACATTCCTCACCTTGATAGAAAGAAACAGCTATGAAAAACTACAAAAAACCTCACAGTCAATAGCGAGTAATTGAAATGTTCCCAGCTAAAATCAAGAACAAGGAAAGGTTGTCTCTTCCACTAACCTTATACAACATCAAAATGGCAGTCCTAGATAACGTGACAAAGAAAGGAAATAAAAGGTTTATATATATATTCATATATATATATTCATATATATATGTGTGTGTGTATTTCTAATATATGATTTTCATCATAGGCAGAAGATACCTATGAAGATATATATATATATATATATCATTATCTATAATCTATATTTTATCTATAATCATTATTTTGTTTATCTCTCTCTTTTTTCTCTCTCCTCTCTCGTGATTTTGGAATAATTTAAAGTGTGTGTATATATATATATATATATATATATATATATATATATATATAAAATAAGAATAAAGAATAAGAAATAAACCTTCCTTTGTTCATAGATATTTTCTGTCTATGATGAAAATCCCAAAGAGGCAGAAACAACAGTGACAAAAATCCCCTGGAACTAATTAACAATTATAGCAAGATTTCAGGGTATATACAAAATAGACAGGGTATAGAGGGTACACTATAAATATACATATATATGTATATACACACATATATATGCATAATACCACATATCCTGTGATTTGTCAGTCTTTTTTATTATTACTACTGCAAGAGTAAGACTCCATTTACCCAATTTTAGACACAGAGCACAGCCGATCCATGGCTACTACCTGGCTTGCAGCTCTATTTCCATTCCCATCTAGTCCTATGAGACAAAAATCTGTGATCTTTATTGTAACTATGTATTTTAAATATTTTAAATAAATACTTACCAGTTTTTTGTTTTATTTTAAAGACTATTTTTAGAAGAGTTTTAAGTTCACAAAAAAATTGAAAGGAAGGTAAACATCCTATATGCCCCCTACCCTGACACACACACAGCCTCTGCATTACTTACTGTTGTTTTGAGAGTGGAAAGAGATCTGAAAGTGGATCTGACTGTGTGCTTTAGGTAGTACTATCTGATAATACTGTATTTCAAAACTATTTTCAAACTTTTCTTCTGAGAATTCTGAACATCATCCAAGGTTAATTCACCAATACCTAAAAGTTAAATAGAGTGAAATTATTTAAATGGTTATGATATGCTTGCTTCTGAGTGGTCTCTTTTTTAAAAGACATTTCAGTTTACCAGTACTATCCTAACACTAATCAAGCAAATATCCTATATCTTCATTAGGTTTTCATTATATTTGTGTTTAAACACTAGTTCTCTATAAATATCTTCCTGTTACATTATTTCTTTTAAGAAATTCTAAACAACTGACAAAAATATTTAAGAGTGTTAAAATGAGTATCTGTGTTTCTAAGCATGAATATACCTACATCAGAAATAGTTGTAATTCTATGTTCTTCTAAAATATCTCCTGGGATGGATGTTTTAAAATCCTCCTTTTGTTTGTCTGACAACTTAAGCACTTAGATTTTGGGAATTGGTAAAGGTTAAAAATAGTTGAATTTATACCCTGCTTACTCTAAAAGGATATAGTTGATTCCTGGGTAAGGCTATGTCTTACAGGTAGGTAAATTAGTTGTCATAAAAGTGGCAGAGATAATCTAATCATAAGCCAGGAACAAGTAGCAATGATCTAAGGAAAATGCCCTTCTCTACTTGGAGCAATTGAAAAATTACTTCTGCTTTCTCATGTTAAAGTCAACATTCCCTTGGTTCCTGATTCAGTTGATGGGGAGACAAGAGTCATAACATGAAATAAGGAGGTAAATTTTGATTAGGTAAATTATAGTAAGTCTCCTGTGAAAAAGAGTGCAAATAGAAGTAAGGAATAATTGTTGAAATAAAACCCCCATTAAAAATTAATTGTACAAACTTCCAATTAACCTAGGAAGCAAACAAAATTGAAATGTGTTTATATTAACCTGCAAACTATTCAAAAAGTAAATGTCATTAGAAATAATTACCAATCCATTTATTAGGTGGCACTTACATTAGAAATGAATAAGAATATCAAAACAGTCATATGACTATATATATATGTATATGTATATATATATATATATACACACACATATACATATATATATGGTATGTATGCATGAGTGTGTAATCAAACATAAAAACAATGTTTAATAAACACATTCTATATTTGGTTGTCTATATGCTTAAATGTGAAGAAGAAAGAGTAGAAGGGGTATTATGTTTGAAATTTAGTAAAGGAGATGTACACGTTAAAAAAATTGAACCAGAAATTATGAGAAGAAAACATGGCAACCCAGGTGGTATTTCTATGAGAAAAAAATGCCTACAGTGACAGATGATTTTTTTCCTTTTTTAAATCTCTGCTTTTTCACATATGGTCACATACATATCACATGTGTATTATATTGACCTATAAATATACATTGAAACACAAATACATGCAAATTACAGCAGCAGTGTACTAGGTACAAATCATTTCACATAACACCATTTCACAACAAATCATATCACATAAAACACTATTCCAGAAATATTGTCATCAATAAACAACTCAGAAGTATATATAAAGCAATGGTATCTGCATATAATGAGGATACATACACTAGATATATTTAGTGTCCTTCCAGAGCTACCCTTTCCTATCCTATCCTTTTCCAGGTTACCTTACCTGTACAGATCACATCAATGAGTATACATGCCCCATGACTTCCTGTTGGGTTCAGAAAATGAGGAATCATGGCAGAGGTTTAGAGAGATTGAGGAGAAAGAGGTCAAAGTATATAGTTTTCTGATTCTCACCATTTGAGCTGTCTTGTGTATGCTGCTTCGCTTCACAGAAGATCACTGCTCTTCCCAAGTTGGTGTGTTTTACAGAATTATCTTTTGAATTTTGATCCATTCCCTCCTAACTTTTGGACCCAAAAATGATGATAGTTATACTAACACCAATCTGAGTTTGAGAACTATTCACTATGATTCTCCTCCAACCAAACTTGTGAAATTATTTTTCATAAATAAATCATGAGTTAATAAAATTTGTACATGCTGCTTTCCATTGGAACTTGAATGATACAAAGAGAAAATAAAGTTGATCTTTCCCATGCTTTGACCAATGCAAACAGGGAGAATGTAAAAACTTAAATAGAAAATACTTCTGAGTATGCACATAAGCATCTGCAAATCATTTTGTTCTATAAAAATACATATTAAAAAGAAAGAACAGGAAGCATGCTGCCAACTATCATTAAGATGATTTCTAAGCAGAATATCCTATAGGTATCCCTGATTCTCATACTTAATTTTCAATGTAATTTACAACCTGCTGAGGAAATTCTAAGGATGCCCACGTCCGTTACATAGATTCTAGTTTAGCAGCTGATGGGTGGTTCATGAAACTGCATTTTAAATATTACCACAGGTGATTATACTACAATTGCTCCAAGTACCAGAATTTGAATAACATACGTAGACATCCATTAAATATTTTTTAAAAAACAAAACAATAGATAACAATGTAAAACTCTTAGATACTTATTACAGGCTGCAATATTTCACTACATACTTGCTTGGGAACTTTTGCCCAACTACTCTTGCCTTCTTTATAAAATGATATAAACGAAAGGCTACAACAGAATGGTTCAGGACATGTTTCTAAAGAAAGGTGTCTTTCTCTGGTCAAAAACAAAGTGTGTTTGATTTTATATATGGCTTACCCTGTTTCTATGGCTTATGAGGGAGCACCATAGCCAAGATACAATAGAATTATTTATTGGGAAATTTTTGATTACTGATTCAATTTCTTTGCTGGTTATGGGTCTGTTCAAATTTTCTATTTCTGTCTGTTTTGGTTTGGGTAGTTTGTATGTTTCTAGGAATTAATCCATTTCTTCCAGATTGCCCAATTTGTTGGCAGGTGATTTTTCATAATGCTATAATTTTATTTCTTCTGTGGTGTTGGTTGTGATCTCTTTCATTGTGATTTTATTTGGATATACTTTCTCTTTTATTTTTGATAAGTTTGGCTAGGGGGTTATAAATTTTATTAATTTTTTCAAAGAACCAGCTCTTGGTTTGGTTGATCTGTTCTATTGTTTTTACTTTGTTTCCCTATCATTTATTTCTGCTCTAATCTTTGTTTCCCTCCTTCTGCTGGCTTTAGACTTTATTTGCCGTTCCTTTTCTACCTGTTTTAGGTGTAAGGTTAGGTTTTGTATTTGAGACTTTTCTTGCTTCTATACTATATACTATACTAGACTATATACTTCTATATAGTACTATATACTATATACTATATACTATATACTATATACTATATACTTCCCTCTTATGGCTACCTTTGCTGCATCCCAATGGCTCTGGACCGTAGTGTTTTCATTTTCGTTTGCTTCCATGTATTTTTTTTATTTCTCTTTTAATTTCTTTGTTAATCCATTCGTTTATTAGTAGGATGTTCTTTAACTTCCATGTATTTGTGTTCTTTCCAAATTTTTTCTTGTAATTGACTTCAAGTGTCATAGCATTGTGGTCTGAAAATATGCATGGTATGATTCCCATCTTTTTTTTTTTTTTTTTTTTTTTTACTTGTTGAGGGATCATTTCTGACCCAGTATGTGATATATTCTGGAGAATGTCCCATGTTCACTTGAAAATAATGTGTATTCTGCTGCTTTAGGATGAAACATTCTGAATATATATGTTGAGTTCATCCTACCCAGTATGTCATTCAAAGTCATTGTTTCCTTTTTGATTTTCAGTCCATTGCTGTAAGTGGACGTCAAAATCCCTTACTATTACTGTAGTATTATAATAAGCTCAGTATGGAGCCCAACACGGTGGATCTCACAACCCTGGGATCAGGACCCGAGCCAAAATGATGAATCAGATACTCAACCAACTAAGCCACCCAGGTGCCCCAGTATTTTTATATTAAATTTTAAATCAATTAAAAAATGTAAAATATGTCCTAGGAATAATAACTGTTAAGTTATTGATTTGCTGCTCTAGACAGTTTTTTTTTCTAACAAATATATGTAAAATGGTTTTCCAAATAAATAATTCATCAATGTGACACAAAAAATTCTGCATATTATCAGTGTTGTGTATATTACAGTTTGACAAACATTAAAACAACTGTATAATATTTCAGATATTATTGATCTATAACTTTGTAAGTTTATTAGATTCTTAAAAAATTTACTATTTCTTGTATAACAATTTTCAATGATAAATAGCACAATAATACCCTTGATGACTAAATGTCATGAGAGATGCAACTTGCAACTCTCCTTCAAATGGAGTTGTTTTCAAAATTTAACTTTAAAAAATGGATTGGAGTTGTCTGTCATAACATGATTAATGAAAAGTCAGTCGTGATTAATGAAATATCAAAGAAAGAAAGATCTATCAACATAAAGCGGAAGCTTCTATTGAGCAGACCTGATCACATTACTTGAATATCTGGGAGAACTAAGGACATGTTTTAACTCCATGCCTTTTACCCATTCCAAAATATCTCAATATGTGAATTAATGGAATTTACCCTCACCTCCTTTCGTTATTTCATTCTAAACATATGAGTACAGAAAACATTGATAAACCCTTGTGTTATTTCCTGATCAAATACTTACGTATATTTTTCAAATTAATGTTACACTTGTATCTACATACTTTTATATAACATTGCAAAACTAAAAATTAAAGTTTTTTCATAAAAGCAATTCTTAATTATCTTCTTTTAGGATAAATAATAAACATAAATACAACTTTCTTGGCTAAGTATTTCTACATGTCACATTTAAAAAATGCCTGGTATCTATACATACGATTTTTATTCAGGCTAAAGACTTACATGGGCTATTAACTCAGCTAGAATATATTCTTTTGTTCTTAAATTGTTTTATTTAGAACTAGTTTTGATTATTGTGATTACTAATAAAAGGCAAAATTTACTGAATGCTAATAGTATGCTCTGTATACCCTAATAACTTATATTATCTCACTTGAACTTCATGGCTAACTCTGATATAATTGTTATAAGAAAGACATGATAATTTGCCTGTATTTAGAAATATCTTAGTAACAATACCTATCAAAAGTTC